CGCTAACTTGCTTTTATGTACAAGACGAGAGCAACTGGGATCGTTAGTGTATTCTCTCACTTCTTCAGAACGAAAAGTAACCGTCTCGTGTCTTCAGTTTGGCAGCAGTGGATGTCCCCCATCACCACCAAGGTTCCTCACATGGTCGCCCCCGGGTGAATCTAGAAGTGCTCTCCTTGGTGATAATAGCTAACATCTACCTTTAATAGTAACCACGAGGCTGCTTGCGCCGAGTTTGACGGCGAGTACAACGAGTTGACCGCCTACTTCGACGGCCTCAACACCACCACCGCCCCCGAGTCCGACCTCAACTACTACTCGTGCCCCGAGTCGCAGCGTAACTTCACCGCTTACCAGGTGAGCCTTTTTCTAATCTAAGGCTCCTCTTTGGATCAGTGTAGCTAAATGTGTGGCCTGCGTGGCAGAACCGCTTCCGTATGCCCGGAGTCGAGACTGGCGGTGTCGGAAACTTCTGGTGAGTGTTAGACATGGCGGCCCTTTTGCTGAACGCTGAAAAATGCGGATTTTTTCAGGTACTCGCACGACTACGGACTTGTTCACTTCATCACCTTGTGCGTCCTTGCCCTCTTTCAGGGCCACGTATTCGAGCTGACTTTGGGCCGCCACACAGCAATGGCGAGACCGACTACCCCTCGCCCAACGAGTACCCCTTCGCCCTTGACCTCACCGGCAACGAGACCCACCCTCTTGCCAACGAGACTTACATCACCGACGCTGGACCCTTCGGCTTCATCAACGGCTCGCTCAAGGACGTGGAGAACTACGAGCAGTACCAGTGGCTCAAGGCTGACCTTGCCGCCGTCGACCGCTTCAAGACTCCTTTTGGTGCGTTTCCTCTGTCAGAGTCTATGTTTTAACATAGTGACACTTGTGCTGAGCTTTCTTCTTTCACCCACAGTCTTCGCCATGAGCCACCGTCCCATGTACTCCTCGGGCGTCTCGTCTTACCAGGCTCACATGCGTTCGGCGTTCGAGGCCCTCTTCCTCGAGTACAACGTCGACGCCTACATCAGTGGTCACATCCACTGGTACGAGCGTACTTTCCCTATGGGCTTCAACGGCACGATCGACAACAGCGCCATCATCAACAACAACACTTTCCTGTGCGTTGCCACGTTCGCTCTTCCGTCTCGCGGGAGGAGGGTGTGCTGACGGAGGTTGTGATGGTTTGATGACGGCAGTGCCCACAACGGATCGATGCTCCACATTATCAACGGCCAGGCTGGTAACATTGAGAGTCACTCGACCCTCTACGCCGATGAGTCCATCCTCCCCCTCACCGCCTTCCTCAACACCGACACCTGTAAGCCTCAGAGCACACCCATCTCCCTGCGTACACGGACTGATCATTAATTTGATGCTTAAACAGACGGCTTCACCAAGCTCCTCGTCTACAACGAGACGATGGCCAAGTTCGAGTTCATCGAGGGCCCCGACGGCAAGGTCGGCGACTACGTCTACATCATCAAGCAGTAAACTGCGCGCTTCCACCATCCAAAAAATCCACTGTGTCAAAGAAAAGACGCTCGGACAGGTTTTATATAGATTAGTCTCCTGACGTAGGGGAAGCAAGTGCAACGCGCGTTTTCGTGGTTGCCATTCAGGTTGTTTGACGTCGGGAGATTAAAGTGGTTTCTATTGCCTTCACAAGTTCTGTATTGTCTTCTACGCGGCTTGTGTTTAGTGCTCGACGTCTCTTGCCGTCTTTTCGAAAGTAAGTCTCTGCGGAGGAATGTTCAATTCAACTCCGTAGCGTACATCATGAAGCGCGGCTCACCTGCTCCTCCACGATGTTCCGTGGACCGTGATAGAACGCCTTCCCTCCCAAGAACCACCAGATACCGCTTAGGATCATCACTCCTGCCGTAATCACTGTAGAGAGTATGATCAGTTAGTCTCGAGGTTGCGGCAGCGGGAGGGGGAGCGGACCTGAAGCATAGTTGAAGTTGTTCTTCGTGACGGGAATTTCTTGTGGAAGGCAGAGGATGATGCACTGATGCGAGCTAGGGGTAAGTTGCATGCAAAGCAACTGATATCATCAGCCTCACCACGAAGATCGTCCAGCTGATCGCGATCCCGTTCCTGTATTGGCATGACGAAAAAATCAGCCTCGACCCGTAAACCTCTCTGAGCTACGTTCGGACATACACAAAGTACTGGAGCAGGCCAGTCCCCAAGTGGAATGGTCCTGGCTTGAACATCACGTCCGGGTGATTACCTGCGGGGACTCTGTGAGCGACTTCAACAGACACGTGTCGCGCACGGTGACATACGGAAGACGAGCTTGCACGCGATCGGAATTATATACCTTCGAGCAAAAGGAACACCATCAGCCGACCTCCTGCAAGCACTCGAGTTTTAGACACAGATAAGGACTCACGAGCTATCCAAAGCAACGGCACAGAGCGCAAAGATGGCCTCGATCGCAGTGTAGCTCGCAAACTCGAGGAAGCAGAGAGCCATAGACAGTCCAACTACGAGCCAGACGGCGTTGACGGGGATGCGGTCCTTGGAGACTTTGGCGAAGAAGCCGCGGTCGGGCAGGCCGCTGTCGCGGGAGAAGGCGAAGAAGGCTCGGGCGTTGGCTTGGACTGGTTGTTGGGATAGAGGAATTTAGAAAAAAAGTTCCAACTGGAGAACGGAAAAAAAATGTGTAGGCAAACGCACGCCCGGCACAGCTGTTTTGACACGCCACCAGTCAGCCGCTTGTCACACCTTGCCCGGAAGACCGGCGGCACTCACCAAACGAAGAACGAGGTCATGCACACGGGTACCCACGCCACATAAAAGCCCGTCTTCCCAAAGTTGTTTGCTAAAATCGTTGCGACGGCGTACCCAGAGACACCGGGAAGGCCGTCGAACGGACCCGAGCAGAGGACGAGGACGATGTTGTAGACCCATCCTGCGGTACTTTCGTCAGCAATGAAGATATAAACTGCATCAAGGGACGCACCAATGAGACCTGTGCCGATGACAGCTACGAAGATGGCTGCTGGTGCGGCGACTGAAGCGCGGCGGACTTCCTCGCAGATGTGGGCCTGGATTTCGGGATGCGAATGAGCGGTAGCTTTCGTGGAAGTTACGACAAAGCGCTGCTGACCGTAGCATCGTAATCCGTCATAGTCCACTGTTTACCTTCGATTGTCAGGTCAATCCTCTCTTCCCCAGATAACAGCACGCACCTGAACACTCAACAATCCCAACAAGAAGCTCAACCCGTTCGACGACCACCCGCTCCCGTTCTGGAACCCCGTAAACGTGTACTTTGCGGTATGCTTCTCCTTTGTCGTCACAAATAGCGCAATCACGATCCCCAGCACAGACCCGAGGTTAATAAAGACGAACGTCTGGGTGAAGCGCGAGAGGACACGTGTGCCCAGCGACTGTGGGGAGTCGTTAGTAAGGGAGATGGGGGTGAGGAGGTAGACGGACGTTGATGAGTCCAACAATGAGCAGAATGCCAGCGGTGAGGCCGACGAGCGCTCCGGGGGACGCAACAAAGTCGCCGTCGGTGGAGATGGCGACGGCGGCGAAGATCATTTGGGACAGGCCGAACGCGGAACTGGCGAGGCCGGAGACTTGTCTGTTGTCCAGAATGTTAGCTATGTGTGCCTAATATGAACACTAATGTAACTCACCCCAGAAGGTTCAACCATCCCACGACCCTGTGCGGAACGACTGGATCAGCGCCTCGCCTTCGCGCATCAAAGGGACGGGCTCACCATCCCACCGGAGCCTTCCAGTGCCCCGGAACAAGGTAAGCACTAGCAGAATAAAGTCCTCCATTTGTCGGATACGCCTGACCCCCTCCGAACTCATCAGCTCGCTCCCCAGTACCCGCCGAATCCATCGTTCCTGAGACAGACTCACCGAAACAATTTCTGAGGCCCCGCGTCGGTCAAGAGGCATTCCGGGGGGAAGCGGAGGGGGGCAGGAGGGAAGGTCAGAGACGACGTACCGGCTATTGAGGTTCCTAGACAGAGACACATGCAAGTTCCGATCATCCAGCACCACACGACAGAGACAGGGCCGCCGCCGTAGACCATCTGGGAAGAGGAGGGTTGAGCAAGAGTTTGTTTGGTGATGGCAAGAGCGGACGTACAGGCGTGTTGAACGTAGTTGCGACTGATGACGACAGTCCCACTTTTTACATCATTCATCAGCTCTCCACTCCCTCTCAGTCAGCATTCAGAGGGCCCAACGGAAGGGGGGACGCACTGATGCTGAACGCGAACGAAATCGTGCTCAAGTTCGTAAACTCTCGCACAAACTCCTGCGCTCCGCTCCCACCCCTGGTCAGCTCTCACCGGGATATCCCTCCACCTGCAAACACAAAGCAGGAAGACGCACCTGACGGTACCCCAGAGCCTCCAACAACGCGTCCTCGGAATCCGAGATCGACCCTTTCTCAAGCTCCTCCTTCCCGTCATGATGCTCTTTCGTACCAAACATGATCGACTCCCTCCAGTCTTCAGCCGGTAAGTCCAACAGCTAGAGGAGCTGAACGGTGGGAAGTCAAGTGGATGGGTGGGTGGGAGGAGGTCAAAGTGGTCGTGTGGGCTCTAGATGAGCGTGAGCAACTCGGCTGAGGACGCTATTTTCAGCGTTCGGACCAAGCGGACGCGGGCGGCACCTCCTCCCGGCAACCTCCCCGGTGTTTTCGGTTGTTCTTTAGGCGGAGACGTGGCCATCTTCATTGCACCCGTGTACTGATTGAACCGTTCTTTACAGGAAGGCAGAGAGGATACGGCATCATGGGAACTGAAGGACGGCAGCGTTGAAGCTCAAGGCGCGCTCAACGACCCGAGTGACAGGGAACGAAAACTCTGACGTGGTCATATGCGCGCTCGATCATCCGGCCAAGCAACAATCAGTACATAGTGATTGCTCCACAAACTTCTCTACCTCCTCCCCAATTTTTTGTATCCACAACCGCAGGCTCATAAAGCCATTCGCAAACCAACCTAAACCTCATCGAAAGCATCGTGGAGCAGTGGTAGCTCGTTGGGCTCATATCAAACGCATAGGAACCCAAAGGTCCTCGGATCGAAACCGAGCGATGCTAAGAATCCTCTTTTTGCGTCCCTTTTTGCCGGCAATGCGACTTCTACGCGTTTTTTGTGGCTGTGACGGGAGACCGCGCGGTTGTGACGGCGCGCGTTTGAGTCAAACGCGGGCGACGGCGCGCGGTCCCTTTGTTCTCTTCATTTTTTTCTTCTTTGGTGATTTGTGAAGGTGTAGAGTTACAGTCCCGAAAGGCTCATTGCAGGTTGATGCACATCTAGTTGCTCATTTGATAGACTACCCTTGGAGCGCAGAAAATCGGACAAGGAGCGCGCAACAACGGAAGACCTTTCCTCGTACGTGGCGCGAAGCGTAGGGGATGCGATCGGTGGAACCTGGGCGTAAGGCAGACAGTAGCTCTCGAACACGATACAAGACCTTGCCCGTGCCTCGAACAAAGCCAACAACAAGCGCAACCAAACCCAGCCCCGACGCGTGTGCAGTAGAAAGAATGGGTAGAATACACGTGCACCGGCCACTCCGCCGTACAAACTCCCACACAAATGCCCCTTCGTCACCCACTTCCGATCTAAAAGTCGTTCGCGTTGAACGCCAACACCTGATCCTCGTGCTCCTGCTCGTACTCGATCCCAACCCTCGCCGGTCCCTCTGTTCGCGGCGCAAAGCACGTAATCAGCTCGTCGCGCCTTCCTGGGAAACGAAAGCAAGTCAAACGCACTCTTTCTCGGCTTCTTGACCTCCTTGCCCTTCCCTTTGCCCTTTGGTTCCTCGGATCTCGACGGCGCCTTCCTCTTGCCCGCTTTCGGTGCTGGCTCGTCCTCTTCCGAATCCTCGTCCTCCTCCGACTCGTCGTCCTCTTCCGAATCGAACGCGTCGGAACCAGAATACTGCTCGGCACACAGTCAGCTTCGGCCCCTTTGAACCCCATCCTCACCCCCGCCGCCAAACAAATCAAGGGAAGGGAACGCACCTCCTCTCCATCCATCTGATAATCCTCGAAATCCCCAATCTCACTCTCCTCCAAATCACTCACAAACTCTCCCTCCTCATCCTCCTCCTCGACCTCATCCTCACTATCCGTCTCCTCGTCGCTCTCCATGCCCAACTCCTCCAACTCCTTCTCCGCAATGACCTCCTTCTCCCTGTTGAGCACGGCCTGCCACACCTCCTCGTTGATGTTGAGCGGTTGGTCGCCGTACGCCCGACTCTTGAGACGCGCGATGAGCTCCTTCTCGAGAGACTTTTCGAGGCGGGCGGCGGTGAGAGCTTTGCCCTCTCGGGCGTGCTCACGGCGCTCCAGCTTCTTCTTGATCGGAACGAGTTGGGGTCTGGAGGACAGAGGTTGGTGAGATGATGGGAAAGGGGAGGATGAGAGCAACGTACGCCTCCTTGAGCTTGAGTTTCTGCATCTTGATGAGGTACTGGGTGATCTTGGTGAGACGTTGTTTACACTTGTGGATCATAAAGTCGGGCCAGTAGATCAACTGCTTGTCGATCTGGCGTAGTTCGAGTGAAGATCAGCACTTCCATACTTTCCACAATCCAACAGCAGGACTCACCTGCTCCAACGCTTTCGTGTAGTTGCCCGACAGCTTGATGCGCTCCCACATCTTGCTCGGCAAGTGCGCCCTCTCAATCGTCTTCATGTACAAATACACCGAGCCTGTTGGGATCATCCAAAGACTCTCTACATCAGCTCCTCATCCCCTTTCGACACCCACGCGCACAACCAATAAGAGTTCCTCGAAAGAAGCTCACCTCCCTGCTCCCTAACGGTAGCATACCGCGAGTTGGCGAGCGGACACGACGTCCTCGAACACAACCCAGTCAAGTTGTACTCGTTCCTACAAAAGTTCTGCGTGATCGTCCTGTCCGCGAGCCGAGTTTAGTGCGAGAACGACAAGGTGCGCCACTCAGAAGCACGGCGACAGAAAAGACTGACTTGATCTTGTACGAGCAGTGTTGCGAGTTGATGATCCCCCTAACAGGTAATACATCAATATTAGCTACAACTTGCACTACTACAGCACTAAACGCACCAGATAACGTCGTCGGACTGCATGGCGACCGAGTGTTGGACGAGAGAAGTTTTCTACGGCGAGAGGCGACGGCGGGAGCTCGTTCGAACGCGAGAGGCGGCGGCGATGAGGTGGTGGTCACGAATTAGTGTAAATTTTGAATCTAGATATAGCGAGTTGTCGTGGGTATCGCGAGGGCGAGGAGGGAGGCGAAGGCAGACGAGCGAGCCAGAGTGCGCGGAACTTCGAGCTCGTCAAGGGGCGAACGCACGGACCACAGTTGGCTGGGCCACGTGTATTTCCTCTTTCGCATTGTAAAGCGTGTCAATGTCTTATCCGACCATTCTGAGTACAGACTGTCAATCTTCTAAGCAAGCTTTTGATAGCCTGTCTCCTTGGCACCGCCCTGACCTTGTCCAAACGGATCACAAAGTGTCGCGACGTGAACCGGGCACAACTTTGAAGCTCAACGCTTTCTTTTTTGCATCATCTCTTCCCCTGAGATCTAAAAGTCTACTCTGCTGACCCTATCTCCCTGACTGAAGTCGTACGCGTTCCCGAACGGCCGGTTGAGGTGGTTGACCTCGCCGTCAACGAACGTGGCCGGCACATCGATCTCTGGTCGGTTCGCCACAATGTTCTCGAGCGACTTGGGGAACTCGAGCCTCATGGGGTTGCTGCAGGAAATACAGCGATCAATCAGACATGATAAACAGTCGGGTTAGTATAAGAGTGAAACGAGCCAACTCACTCATACCACGGCGCAAAGTGGATCATCGCCAACATGACTCTCGGCTCCTCCGTCCCATTCGGTTTCCCAGCATGCCACAGCCTCAAGTCCCGAATCAAAATAGCACCTTTAGGAACTGAAGGTTGGACGGGTCCACAGACTTTCTCGCGGGCCGCGAGGAGGTGTGGCTTGATCCGACCGGAGGCGCGGTCGCCGTGTAGGCCGTCTTGGGAAGAGAGGCCGGCCATGGTGTGTGTACCGGGCCAGATCTCTTTTAAACAAAAGAAATAAGGAAAAAATGAGGTATCGTTAGCACACCGGATCCAGGATTACAGCTGTGTGGTGTCAACACGTGGAACAAGAAAGGCGACGCACCAGTCGACCCATTCTCGACCTCCATCGCGACAAGCGGAACATTCACCACCACCGCAAACGGAATCTCAGGATGAGCAAAGTCCGCATCAGTGTGAACCGGCTGCCCCTCCGTCGCTTTGAGCGCCGTGTTCTGTGTCGCCGTCTATCGTCATTAACCCTCTTCTTTTCGCCCTAGCAACCAGAACAAATGGAAAAAGTACCCACACCAGAGTTGAACGTCCATTTCGGCTTTCCACCGAGATAAGCCGAAGTGACTGAAGTGACGACCTTGTTGAGAAAGATGTCCTCATGAAAGTTGTCGACGTCGGCCGGGGGGTCTTGTTGAATGTTGCCGCGATTGTAGTTGAACGGCGAGTCCGGACGGTCGACGAGGATCTTCGCATCTTTCACCATCCTTTCATTTAACTACCTCATCATCAAGAGAAAAACCCCACCCCCCATTCGTCAGCGAAAAAAAAGCTTCCACCTCCGCAGAGACAACCACGCACCGAATCGAGCTTGTCGTGCCCCACCATGCCCTCCAGCATCACGATCCCATCGAAATACAATGCTTCCAACGCACTCTGCTGGTTTTTAGGACTCAGTCGACCAGCCTCACGCTCCGCCGCGCTCGGGAGGATGCTCGTCATCATCCACCCCGCTGAAAGGAAGGACGAGGAGGAGAACCGCCGTGTGGTGGATAGAAGGTGAGTGAGTGGACGTGTGGTGGGGCGGAAGAGGAGGAGTGACATGATTGAAGAAGGTGAAGATTGTAAGGGGAAGAAGAGAGGAGACTTGTGCGGAAAACGAACGGGGGCAGTGCGCGCCGGATATTCATCAGTTTAAGCGAGGCTGGAGGGCACGTGACTTTGGAAGTGTCGTGACTTACATCTCATTAGTAGAGCCTCTCATTGTTCATCCTTAGTAGAGCTCAATGTAGCTGTCGATGATGTTTCGAGCCGGACAAGCGGCGGGACGCCACGTGGTTGATCACGATTCGTCAGCCGCCAGCATGTTATGCCTTTGTCACCAGAGTTACCACCTACCGCTACTTTCCTTTCTCGCTAGTAGCTTGTGCTCTCGTGGAGAAGCAGGCGACGGAACCTTCGGGTCTGGCGGCACTGGAGATAGCACATCTTGCACGCTCCAAGCGGGAAAGTGCGTTCGAACACCGTCACCCGTTTAGCTGAAGACCTCATCACATCATCATTTCTACGATTTTCAATATCTCTGCCTTCTATCAATTGCTGAATCTCACAATCATGAGTAGTAGGCACGCGGTCTCGTTTGTACCTACCATCCTGAGTACTGTAAGCGCACCCCAACGACGCCGGATGAACATTCACCGGCATGCGGAAGTTCTTTTACAGCCGAAAAGCCTCCTTTTTCTCGTTCTTTTGCCAAAGCAAGACGTTCAGCCGAAGACCGATAAATCAGGTCGACGCTAGCGCAGAACACGTCGGTACCCCGCTTCTCAAGGCTGCGTTTATGAGTTATTTTCGCTCGTACTCGGGCCTGTTCTGCCCCATAAATAGCTTTAAGAAGCTACTCTACTGGAAAAGAGAGTATTATGGCGGATCGCAGGACTGGGGGAGCACTTTCGGCCAAGAAGCTAGTTCTCGATCGCCCGGAGTGCGCCGAGAAATGCCTCACACACCTGGCTGAGTTTTCATAAAACTCGATTCGGCCTCTTTCTCTTTCTTGACACTTCTCACAGCATAAAATGGCGCTCACCTACGTCGCGACCGCGTTGGTCGCGCTTCTGCTCGCCACGCCGCCTGCCACGGCCGCTCCTCTCATTGTCGGACGCGAACTCAGTGCTTACGGTGAGTCGTTTATGATGTGTTCGGCTTTCTGGAAATACTTACTTACACTCCTCCTTTATCACAGACGTGATGTAAGTGTTTCTGGAATGTCGAACAGTGAAGCTGTAAGGTA